ACACATGAGTAAGGTGAATTGGTGTGTTTTGATTGGAGATGTGACATGATGCATGATTTATGTTCATGTTGCGACCATACCCCTTGTTACATTATGTTGTTATTTACGTGCATAGTGGTGAGCACCACGGATTCCATTTGTGCTCACCCCCACCTGTTTCTTCACAGATGCAGGTTAAGCAGGTGTCGAGCATGACGAGGGAATAGACGAGTGGATGGTCACTTATTATTGCTTATGCTTCCGCTTATGTTGAATAATTGCATGGTTTTTATGAACCTTGTTTTAGTTGAGACATGTTGAACTGTTTTTCAAACTAATGCCTTGAATTGTTGGATATTGGGTTGTTTCGGAAAAAGTTATGTTGGTTTCTTTTTCTTTATGGAAACATGATGGATTTTGGATATTCTTGTTTTATGTGCTGCTTGAATAACATGTGAAGTGTTGTTTATCGGTTAATGAAAACCATGTGAAAAATTGGTAATGAATCCTCGTGAGATCAGACACGACTTGATCTATGTAAATGTTGAATAATGCCCATGTTTTCGAAAATGAGTTTGAAAAATGTTTTATAGTTTTTTAGAAAGACCGAAATTTCGTTAAAATCAAAGTGGGGTATTACAAGGGGTGGTTCGGCTTAGGGTTCCGACTGGTTCTTAAGCTCCTAATGGACCGAATATGAACATCATCTTGGGCACCATATAAGTATTTGAGGTTTGGGTCACAATGGTTCGAAAACGAATCAAAACAGATAAGGATTCCACTTACGCTATTAAACCGAAAATCTGAAAGATGAACGATAAATAAAATCGAACGAGCATGTATAATTATATTATTCAATTAATAATATAATAATATGCAATTAATTAAGACGTAGGAAAAATAAAATAAAAATTCCGACAAATAATAATTCTGAAAAATCCATAATTCAAATGAGGCACTACATAACTGATGTGTAGACCTACGAGTAACCAAGTAACCGAGGGGCAGCCACTTGGGTAGTATGGGCAACTGGGTAGGCCTTCGGGCAAAGCAAAGCTTGTTCAAGAAGCCAATAATTCTCTATAAATATGTAGGTTAATCAAACTTCATACATTCTAAGCTTTTAGTATATTTTCTCATATAGCTTTTCACATCACCTTACTCACTTGATAGTCAGAGGTTTAACGAAAGGAATATCTCCCGGCGTCTTTGCAGGTCTCTAGGAAACAAATAGGTCGAGGGGTCGTGGAGAGCCGGTTCGAGCTGCAACTGCATATTACTAATGATCACTGGTGGGAAGCAATCCTTACTAAGATGACACAAAATGGAGATGTTCAATGTCAATATTGCAGTGGTCCCTTTACCGAGAGTGAACCAAACTAATGGCACATTAACAAAAAGGAAGTCTTTGTAATTGGAAATATATTTAAGAAATGGCATTTGTTTTCGCAATCAAAAGAGATATTAAAAACAGATAATATAAGAATAAAAGCCTTTTTTCTTAAAAAAAAAAAGGAAATATTGAATCAAAACCAGAAAAGGCAGATTACTTAGATGACAAACTGAATGTCAATATTGTAAGTGCTAAAGATTGACAGTAAACGATGAACCTTCGGGATTCTCAGCAGTCAGGAAACCGCGAGTTTAATTAAGGGAAGTTTGATTATAGTTGAATTAAATTTTTGTTATATTATATATTAAATATCTAATAGCGTATGGTTATATTGGGCAGGTCAATAAAATCAAGGATGGGATTCAACTTCCTTAAATACGTGAAAGAGAGATCGCCGGCTCCAAGAGTAATGACCTACCATTTATACATTTGACTTGGTTTAAAAGAAAAGAGGGGACTTACCATTCTGAAGCCGGAGGATAAAAGGAGCTTGATTCAGATCCCTTTGGTTTATCGATTTAATTTTCATTTTTGAATATCTTCTTTTGTTTAGAGAGTAATTTGAGCGAAGAAGAATTTTTCATATACACTTTATTTTGAGAGTTGGGAACAGGATGTTCGGAGGTTCATTCTGATTTAGTTTGAGGGATTCAAACTAGAAAATCCACAAGGGAGTTGTGGTCAGATAAGTAGTTGTGTGAATCATTATTCAAGTAGAGTATAGAGGGAGTCTATACTGTAAATCCTTGGATGATGTATGAGTTGTTCACATTAATGAAAGAGATCTGAAGGGAGAGTGGGACACTCTCCTGAAGGTTCATATTTTAGTAAAAACTGCTTCCGCAATTGTTTGAATCTTCATTACTGTTTGTTTGTTCTATTTACATGCAACTCTGGATACTTGGTGTTCAAGTATCAAATTTTAAATATTATGAGTATGATGTTGCATTATCAAATCTCTTGAAAATGTCCTTGCAGTTGTTTTAATAGATGGAATCATCTGAAGAAAATGTTATCCTAATATCAATTAGGCATCTCCGAGAGAACATTGTGAAGATGGAAAAAGTTTTGGGCAGTTTCAATGCAATAGCGACTGACAAAGCACAAGGAATCGACTTGAAAACAGTTGAATGTGCAATCAAATGTACGAAAATGGCTAGTACTTTTTTATAAGATGCCCTTCAAAATGCTTTGATCAATGAAGGTATATCGTCGATGAACCGAAAAAA